ATGCAGAAGTGGTGGTTATAAACAGGTGGTTCCACAGTATGAGCATCATCTGGGAATTTGTAAAAAATGCAATTCAATTCTAATGCACACCGTAGTTTGAGAACTACTCTTCTAAAGTATTGAGACTTTTCCTTCTTAACCCAACCTGCCATTGCTGTGTCTGTGTTTACTATAGAAGATCTTTTCCAAATCTCCTTAGGGCTGCTGTACTTTGAGGTTAATTTGCCCAGATAAATAGAACGTGGTGCATCCTGCTGGCTTCTGGATCATATGTCAGACATCTTCAGAGAAGTCTGACCTCAAAAATTAGCCCCAGTCCATAATTTCCGCATTAGCACATCCTATTCTCTCTCGAGTTCCCAAGTTTCCCCTCCTTATAGAGATTGTTTCTGGGATTCCTCTGCTTCACCATTTCCAAGGGAAGAAAAGCCAAATTCTCAGAAATATTTGGGTGTGGAGTCATGGGCCGCTGCTCTTCCTAAATCTGTTCCCCTAGTATTCAGCAAGTTTATACTGATGCCTGCACTGTCATTTAAAGAAACAAGGTCATGTGTCCACAGAATGCATACTGAGGTCATCCTTCCCTCTCCTTCATTCTTGGGGAGACCTAATATTCAGGATTAGCAAGAAGATGGTGTGTTAAATCTCTGCTAGTTGAACTGCCCACCTTCCTCAAGGGTGGTCCTGGTTTGCTGCTGCTGTGAACGTTTAATTTCTTAGATAATCCAAATCTATTCCCCTCTCTCAAGCTTTTATTCCCTTCTTTCCACCCTCATCCAACAGAGAAGTCTCTTAACTACTCAGTTACAAGTCTCCTAAGTGCCCAGCCTTTACTTTTGAATTGCTCATTATCTTGTAATTAGTGAAGATGTCTTTCCCATTGGATTGTGGATTCTATGCGGTTAGGAACCACTTCTGATTTCTTCACTACTACATCCCTGTGTTTTATAGCAGGGCCCAGAACACAGTGGGTGCCTAATAACAATTTTTAAAATTCTATGACTGAAGGAGTGACGTGGTGTTATAATGCAAGTCCTAGGAGTTTACCTTTTAGTAGTCCTGGGGCCCAGAGTCATGTAATAGTAGGCACTAAATAAATGATTATTAATACCTTGGCACATATTATTTCCCTCTCCTTGGACTGACTTCGTTTGTTTCTGGACCTACTAAAATCCTTATCCTTTTTCAAGACTCCAGTCATGGTGACTACATAAGACCACACGGGTTGTACATCTCACAATTCCAGGGAAAGTTATTCAGATGAGATTGACTGCATTCAGAATGGTATGCCTGTAGACCAGGGAATGCTATTGAAATAGACTGTGATGTGAAGAGCACCCCACTGGAGTTGTGCAATATAAAACCCCTCCCAGTTCAATTGTCTCCTCTACCAGGAAGCCTGTCTGGATACAGACTGTAATCTCCATGGGGCAGTGATTTTTGTCTTACCCAGCACCTAGAACAGTGCCTGGCTCATAGCAAGTGGAGAATGAATGTTTGTTGAAGGCATGAATAAGCTCCTCAGTGATGAAAAGTCGTTTGTCCTCTGTGCCTCACACCTTGTCCCTGCTTGTTGTTGAGCAACTGTTTTGTATGGAATGATGTTCGAAAGTTCAGTCATGCCGGGCGCGGTGGCTCAAGCCTGTAATCCCAGCACTTTGGGAGGCCGAGACGGGCGGATCACGAGGTCAGGAGATCGAGACCATCCTGGCTAATATGGTGAAACCCCGTCTCTACTAAAAAATACAAAAAACTAGCAGGGCGAGGTGGCGGGCGCCTGTAGTCCCAGCTACTCGGGAGGCTGAGGCAGGAGAATGGCGTAAACCTGGGAGGCGGAGCTTGCAGTGAGCTGAGATCCGGCCACTGCACTCCAGCCTGGGCGACAAAGCGAGACTCCGTCTCAAAAAAAAAAAAAAAAAAAAAAAGAAAGTTCAGTCATAATTATGATGCAGTTCCCAATGATTTGGGACCTTAGTTGTGCTTTCTTATACTGGAAAGTGAGGGCTTCAGAGAGCCTATAATTGCAGGACTGAAGACTTTATACCACTTCTATATCCAGGTAGATCAACTCTACATAGAAATTTTTGGAAATTGTGCACACCCATGTTTTAATGTGGTCTGGAAGTTTTACTTCAGGGTGTGGTACATGCAGTGTAGGCCACAAATCATGGTTTGTGAGAAGTACTGTTCTGAGAGCAAAGGCACTGGAAACTTGGATAAGAAGCACGAGTAAGCCCTAATGGAGGGCAGCAATGCTCAGAGGCTGCCAGCCCAGTCCCAAACTTTAGGCACAATCACCCCCCAGCATTGCTGCCTTGAATCATATGAAAGGGTGGTGTTCAATGTTCTGAAACGTTAGAGAAGGGCAGGACTGGTGTCATAAGCTCAGGTGACCACACCTCTTATTTCTGGTAGAACCATCTGGATATGCAATTTCATGTTTTGTGTAGTTAGAGGTCTCAGACAGATCTTGCAAGAATCATCTGTTCTCTTGCATAAGCTACAGAGCCCAAGAATCTATCCATGCTTTATTGGATGCATCTCACTTGACAGGCTGTTTATGCAGAGATGTCTTCTATTGGCCTGAGGAAAAAAAAAAAAATGGTGATGCAATCCTCGAATGTAGAATTTAGGTGTCAGCACACTATGGCCCCTGAGTCAAATCTGGCCTACATCCTGTTTTTGTAAATAAAGTTTTATTGGAACACAGCTATGCTCATTGTTTACCTACTGTCTATGGCTGCTTTCACTCTACAACAGCAGAGTTGAGTAGTTGAGATGAGACTGCACGGCCCACAAAGCTGTAAGTATTTCTTTTCTGGCCCTTTACAGAAAGTTTGCCAACCCCTGACTTAGGAAATGAAGCTTCCTCTGCCAGTTAAAGGCGCCCTATTGCAATTGCCTGTCATTTAAACTCTCACAATAAGTTTAAATTCCATGATGGTTGAGAAGCACCTATCTTACGCACTGCTGTATCCCCAGGAATGGTTGCATAGTAAGTGCTTACTATATGTTAGTCAAATTAATTAATTAACAGTTAAAAAGTGGACAAACTAGAGTGGAAATAAAATATCCCCTGGAGGGGCACAGAAATTACCAGTAATTTGAAATCTACATTGATTGCTTGAGAACTATACATTCACTTTTGTTGCTTAATTTTTTTACCTCCAAGAGCTCCAGAAAAGTTACACATTAAGTGTTCAACTATTGATGTATATGCACCTAACAACTTTCATTTTAATTTTAGAAATGTTAGTGTAGAAAATTGTGACCTTCGAGATGCAATAAAATATATACTTACCAAGCCCCAAATCCCCTTTCAGATACATCTTTTTTTTTTTTTTTTTTTCTTTTTTTTTTTTTTGAGACGGAATTTCGCTCTTGTCACCCAGGCTGGAGTACAATGGCATGATGTCAGCTCACTGTAACCACCACCTCCTGGTTCAAGCAATTCTCCTGCTTCAGCCTCCTGAGTAGTTGGGATTACTGGTGCCATCCAGCATGCCTGGCTAATTTTTGTATTTTTAGTAGAGACAGGGTTCTGCCATGTTGGCCAGACTAGTCTCGAACTCCTGACCTCAGGTGATTCACCCACCTTGACCTCCCAAAGTGCTGGGATTATAGGCATGAGCCACTGTGCTTGACTCGGAGACATCTTAACATCTTTGCACTTACCTATTGTAGTAGTTTACTCTGACTGCCATAATAAAATACCACAGACCAGGTGACTTAAACAACAGAAATTTATTTTCTTGTAGTTCTGGAATCTGGGAATACAAGATCAAGATGTTGACAGGGATGGCGTCTTCTGAGGCCCCTTTCCTTGGCTTAGAGATGGCTGTCTTCTGCCTGTGTCTTCACATGGTCTTTCCTCTGTGCCTGTACATCCCTGGTATTTCTCTCTGTGTCCAAATGTCGTCTTCTTTAAAGACATCAGTCAGATTAGATCAGGATCACCCTCATACCCTTCTTATAATTTAATCACCTCTTTAAAGACCTTATCTCCAAATGCAGTCACACTCTGAGGTACTGGGAGTTAGGGCTTCAACATATGAACGGGAGGGCGAAATTTAGCCCACGACACCTACATATCTCTACATACTTTCTTCTTTTACGCAAGGCTTGAGTACTTGCATGAAATCACATGTGAGGTGACTATCACATCACTGACCACTGAAAATAATGTGGCCAGTTCTCCCAGTTGGGGATGTGTGCTCATCTCTACCTTCTCTATCAAAGGAATTCAAATTCCTTCTGGGTCAAGGGTTTACCAATGACTGTTCCTCCAGTTAAACTTTCAACTAAGTCTTCAAGGTCAAGGTTTGCCCTGTACGGACAAATCATGTAAATACTTTCAAGGTACTACATATGTTTAGAAATGAGAGAATAAAAGATGGTGGGGTGAGGAGGTAAGTATGTTGGCATCCACTGTAGTCCCAGCAACTCTGGAGGCTGAGGTGGGAGGATCACTTAAGCCTGGAGTTTGAGGCTGCAGTGAACTGTGATCACACTGCTGCACTCCATATTGGGCAAAAGAGCAAGTTCCTCTCTCTCTTAAAAAAAAAAAAAGATGAAGGACTACTTAACCTAACTGTTCAACCACTGGAAATTGATTAGATTCATTATAATACAGCCATAGTATAGGATGTGATATAGTCTTTTTAAAAGTTTACTGAAGAATATTTAGTGATCCTGAAGGTTCTGTACAATATTGTTATAGGGAAAAAAATCAATTCACAAAACAAAATGTATTCACTTATTTAATAAATATTTATGGAGCACTGGCTATGGCCAGGCAGGCAATGTTTTAGGTTGTCGGGATTTGATGAACAAAGCAAAGCATCTGCCTGTGTGGAGCTTAAACTGCAGTGGAAACACTGATAACAAGCAAATGACTATAAAATATGCTATCAGCTCATGTGTGCATTGAAGGAAAATAAAGCGGAACAAGAAATCGAAGAATGGCAAAGAGAAACAATTGTTTTTGCTCATTTGGTCAGGAAGCGTTCTTGGAGGGAACAGCATTTGAACAGTGACCTGACAGAGGTGTGAATGCTGGTCATTGGAGGGTCCGGAGGAAGAACATTCCACGAGGGGAAAACTGAAAATGCAAAGGTCGTGAGGTGGAAACATGCCTGGAGTGTTGGGAGAATTTCAAGGGGGCCAGTGTGGCTGGAATGGAGTAAAACAAAGGCTCGCATGCCAGGAACAGCATGACTTCAGCCCTGTGGAAATACAGTAAGTGTACAGAAAAAAAATTCTGAGGAGAGATAGCAAGATTATGACACTATAGGTCATCTTGATTTCCTTTCTTTTGATTGCCTACAATATTCTGAATTTTCTGCCACGTGTGTATTACTTTAGAAAGATAAAAATAACGAACGTCTTTATACAAAAGTTTCTGTGGAGCTCAATACCTTTGCCTTGGATGCTCTGATTGGTTGCTGGGTGTTTAGATAGCCACTCTGACTGTGCCTCATTCCAGGAACAGGGGAGAACCCCCAGCTGGGAAAGTCAGAGGGAGGTGCTTATCCAGATGCTCTCAGGTAAACACAGTTTACTCTCAGGTAAACACACACTGATTTACAGTTAGCGGTGAAGGTGCTAATGTATCCTCTCAATGATATCTCCCACTATCAGCTATCAATACTTGTTAGCAGAATCCAATAACGACTTAATTGGCAACAGAGATCTGAACAGATGTCTCACCTAATAAAAAGCTTTTGTGACCAGCAAGCTGACCCCTTTTGGGCTTAGCTGGGCTTTGGTACTTTGTGTATGACCCCTTTTGGCAGTTGTCATTAATCAGACAAACTGGCTGATTGTTGATTGCTGTGTGTACCAAGTCTACGAGTCAAACCTGGACCCATGGAGTGTACTTAGACCAGGTTCCCTGAACTCTGACCTCTGACTTGTCTTCTGTCATCTCATTTAATACACACACAGGCTAGACTCAAGGGCTTTATTGGCGTCAATTGTAAATAGCTATTGTAGCTAGATTCTTCACCCACCCATTCACCCTGTGAATCCCTGGTGGATTACTATGGACCCTTCATCACACAGATTTAAGTAAGTAAAGAGGTTGTTACTGGTGCTTATCTCTCTCCTTAACAAAGAGGATCTGTGTGTGGTGTGAAGTGAACTGGCCTGAGGATCCATCCACTGGTAGAAATGACCCCGAAGACTTCCTGTGCAGGGAGGGCAAAGAAAAAAGTGCTTTGGGATAGAGAGATCCCTTTTCCTCCTCCTGAATGTGTTAGGTAAGGTCAAGAGAATGGTTATTAGATTGCAAAGGCATTTTATCTTCCAAACTTCTGCTTGAATCAATTATGTTGGTGAGTAGAATATGCTATTGTTAAGAGAATAGTCTCTTTACGGAGGCTTAAACAACCAAATAACACAATTAATGTTCATGATATTAAGAATAAATGCCCAGAGACAGCATTCAGAACACAAGTAGAGCATTTCCTTGCGAATGAAGATGTTGAAAGGTTTGTATTCTGTAATCCTAATTTCAAAGTTCACAAGTAGTCAATAAAAAAGGAAAAGATAGTTGCGTGATCAAATACATTTGGGCCTTGTTAGGTTTGACAAAGTGAGCCAGGTTGTTTTACTGCAGAAACCTTATCAGAACCTTTCATGTATAAGATAATTAATGGAAGTGTTATTTTGACTTAACCCTTCTTACAAAATAGTGGTGTTAGGTAGAATACAGGCCAATCTTTATACAGAAGCTGACATGCATCTTTTTTTTCTAATTTTTTGTATTTAGTGGTTCACAAATTTCTGATTAAAGGGAATAAGTTGAATTTTTTTCAGGCTTCCCGTTAGTCTCACCAGTAATAAGCATAGTTTTCTGAATCAGTGAAGAGATGAATTCATGGACGAAATGGAACGGAGAAGTGGATCAGCAAAATGTTCTCAAGAGTCTTGTTGCTTCCTCTCTGGCTCTATTTTTGTTATTGTATGATTCTGGGCCATTTCCTGTTATTATTACACTTATTGTTGTCAGAGGAAACCAATTCGTTTTAATATTAGCCTGAGCAAAACATAATTAGGAAGAGAATCTGCTACCAAAAAGGAAACACGTATGTGCGACTTTGCATTCCAAAGCCCAGTACTCAGATAAACACGCACACGCGTGCACACACACGCACAGGCAGGCACACATACGCACACATGGGCACACACACAGAGGAGCCCTCTCTATACAATCTCAAAACATCCTGCCAAGCCAATAAAAAACAGTCTTAGCCACTCCAAGGAAAAACAGCCTGAAAACCAGATGATTTACCAAGCGTTACACGCTTCCTATTTTTATTTTGGAAGAGGAAAGAGAAGAGGTGATAGAGAAGGGGCGAAAAAAGAAGGGGATTGGCAAGGGAACAGCTTGGAGGTTGAAGGCTGAACTTCTGGCCTTCCCTTCTTAGATCTTTCAGTACTCCAGGCTCACTACTGACATTTGTCTCCTGTGAGCTGAAACCTCTGGGTACTTGAAAGTCCATCATATCCATTCATGTGCTAAGACTTCCTTCTTTCTCCCTTCTCTCCCTCTTTTTGCCCTCCCTTCCTAACAAAAGGATTTTCTCTTAACTGAGTGTACAGTTCACCCCCTTGGAAGGATCACCATTTCCTGGACAGATGCAAGAGTTGGGAAAGGGTCTGGAGAAGAAGCGGAGGAGGGAGAGGGAACCAGCAGGCGAGGAATGCCAATTCTACCAGGCTCTGTTAGGTCCTTTCATGGTTTATTTTATTTAATACACACAATCATAGTCTAAGATAGGCATTGTTATCATCCCATTCTACAGATGAGGAAATTGGGCTTACAGAGGCTAAGAAATTGCACAAGGTTACAAGGTTAGGAAGTATTGGAGGCAGGATTTAAATACAGACAAGTTTACTAACTTCAAAGCCAATACTTTTACCCACAATCCTAATGTACTTCATTTAACTTCTTCAGGCTTCAGGGTTCCTATTTATGAAATAGAGACTATCCCTATTTTCACTCTTATCCCTCCAATATTGTTCCCTACACAGTAGACAGAAAGATAGCAGCCATTTGAACTGGGCTTAGCTTCCAGAGGCATGCGATAAAATTAATGTCTGCAGTCAGCCTGCGTGTGCTGGTATGGATCTACTCCACAAAATCCTCAGGGACCTAAGCTTCTTCCAACTCCGCACTGTCCCATCCAGAGGGGTGACCCTTGTCTTCATAGTCCAATATAGCAGCTGGAGCTCCAACCATCACATCTGCATTCTAGGCAGAGGATGAAGAACAAAGTAAAGAAGAAAAAGGTCAAAACCACCTGTCTTTTAAGCGTGACTTTTGAATTACCCCATCACACTTCCACTCATGGTCCATTGGCCAGACTTAGTGTTATGGCTATACCTGCCTGCAGGAAAGACTGGGAAATATAGTCTTTATTCTGTGATGCCATGCATCCAGCTAAAATTGTGGGTTTTCTATCATGCAAGAAGGAAGGAATGACTACTAGGGATAGTGCACAGTGTCTGCAAGAGGAACGCTTTCAAAATGTAAGTTAGATCATGTTACTCTGCTGAAAACTGGGTAAAGTCTTCCCACTCGCTCAGGCTGAAAGCCAACATCTTTGCAGTGTCCAATAAGGCCTTCCATGCCTTGTTCTCAAGACTCATTGCTTCCTCTCTGGCTGGGCCCTTCTTCTCATCTGGACCCTTCGTTCCTTAAGTCTCTGCTCAAACATCACTTCATCGGGACCACCCTCCAGAAAACAGTATCCACTTCCCTATGACTCTCTGTACCCTTTACCTGGCTTTGTTTTTGTTTTCTGCTTTTATCCGCACCTTATCCCACCTGACATAGTCTATATTTGTTCAATTTGCTTATTGTCTATTTTCCTACTAGAATATAAGCTCAATGAGATCTACGACCTCATCTGTTTTTTTCACTGCTCTATATTTCAGGGCCTAGAACAGTGGCAGGCACACCGTAGACATCCAATAGACAAGAGTTGAATAGATGAATGATTGAATAAATTCTTGCTTTCTCCAGCTTCCAAAATTTGAGAGAGGATGAATGGAAGTTTCCAATCTCAAAGAGCCTTGAAAATAGGAGGAGTCAAATATAAATTATTATTAGCTGTCCTTTGATGTCCTCCCATTTGTAAATGTGCTCTGTTAACTGTGAAGAATAATGCAAATGTGATTGGCCATCATTGTTTTGAAGTAAGGCTCAGTGGGATAGAATTTTCAGTCATTTCTTCCCAAAGGACCAGAACTATTCATTTTAAATCCATTTCTTCCCTGCCTTCAGTTTTGAATGAAGATGGCTTTGCTGCTCATAGTTTCCTAATATATCACTTTGATGGTTTATTTCACCTTAAGTAGCATGGAATTGAAGTCTGAGACTGTATCAGGCTGATTTCAGGTCTCTTTTGCTTCCCTTTGTGACATCGCAGTAGGGGAGAATTGTCAAGCTGTGCCTGGCCAAGTTAAATGAGGAGACCAGATGGTCAGAAAGAAAGGAATTTTGGTCCAGGTTTAGGAGGAGAAAAGCTGGAGGCAAAACTCCTGCATAGTTTTTGACCTGGAGATCACAACACTGAGCACTGGGGGTACGTTGTTGAATGCTGGGGCACCCCAGCAGAGATTTGCAATGCAGGAGTTCCTTTTGGTGGTACTCTCCTAGGACTTTCTGCCAAAACTTCAAAATGATTTTGCTGTGCTAGAGTTTTGGTTATATGGGACTTTTAGTTTTCAGAGACAGAGAGCATTGATTTATGTTAAACACAACAAAAAGGAAAAAAAAAACGGGAGGTAAAGAAGTCACTTTTGGCTTTTGCTTTTAGCAGGCAATTTTAAGAAAAAAGAAAACAAAATCCAAAACGGGGGGAAGAAAGGATGGAAGGAAACAAAGCAGCGCTATAGAAGGTGATTTTTAATATCTCTATCCCCCAACACAGAGAAGGCAGCTGGTGCAGAAACCCAGAAGCTGTTCCAAGTTGCATTACGAAGTGGCATCGTGAGCTTTCTGGCACTGAGACAGGGTGAGGAGGCAAGAGATAGAAAGTCAGGCAGGAGAAGGTGGCAAGGGTCCAGGCAGGAAGCAGTCTGAGTGTGAACAAGTGTCTTCGTGGTAGGGACAGATGGAAAAAAAGACCTTAGAAAAAATACTGCTGAGAAAGGAAGAGCCTGACTTCTTAATGTCCTCTGATAAAGCATTTCATCGCAGCTGGTGTTCAGCAGTCCTGGTTTTTAATATGCTGACTGCTGTGCTTGATATCAAATGGCAAGGCTTCTGCTCTGTGGCCTCAAAGCTTAAATGTTACCCCAAAAGAATAAACATACAACACTGTTCTAGGAGTACCAGAATGCCAGGGTTGCCAGGGTTGACTGAGCTTGTCCAGGTTTTATTCTGATTGTCTCTAGCATGCCTTGGTGACCTAATAGCAATGTGGCGTGTCTATAGCTGAGACGATAAGCCACTTTCACATCACCTTCCTCATTTAAACATTCTAACCACCCTCTGGCAGGAAAGTGGAGTGAATTATGGTCACCATTACAAAGATGAGAGGACTGAGGCTCACTGAGGTTGGATGGCTTGCCCTCATTTGTAAAAGTGAGATTAGTATCTGGTTTTCTGTCTCCTAATGTTTGCCTTTTCTTCGAGTTATTTACCAGAGTTAGTTATCAATGCTGACTGAGTGTGCACTCTCCTAGACACCGGGGAGAAGCAGAAGAGGAAACCAGATATGATCCTTCTCCTTGGGATTCTCCTGACCTAAGAAAAAAGACAGATGAATGCAGATAACTGAGTCTATATACAGAGACTACCACAAGTTCACACTTTACTGAATGTTCAAACATAGTCATGCACCCTAAGGGCATTGTTGGAAGCTTCTGGAACTAAGTCTCTGGGGATTTGAATCAACTCAGAAGACTGACTCATTCACTTGGCTGTGGAGGCTATTCCAGATATTAGGAGCTATGTATGTGGGGCCCTGGATTTGGGCCAAAAGATGCATTTGACTGGAGAGAAGGGATTGAGATTTGAGCAGTTGTTGGACAACATAGAAATGAAACAGCCATAGCAAACTTGCCTGCCGTGATTTCTCTGCTGAGATAATGGAACTTTTCAGACTCCCTGTAACTGGGATCTAGATAAAAAGAGATGTCTGGAAAAAACTGGTCCCAATTGTCGCTTGGCTTTGCTTTCATAGCTATCTGAATGTGGCATATGTCAGACTTTGAAATGCTGGGTCTCTTGGAAATACAAATACCATCTGGTTCTGGATAATTCCCAGAAACCTAGGCTACTCAGTAGGAAATGAGGAGCTGGAAACATAATACTGAGACCAGGGGCTTGTTCTTGGGCCACCCTGTCTCGTGTCCTGGTCATAGTCACATTACTCATACAGAAAATGTCAATGGGAAGACACCACAGGGTTCATCTTTTCATGACACAGTGACCTCTGTTTTGGACATCCTGATTTCTCTTTGAGAAGCCATCCCTCCCCTAGTGTTTATAGTCTAGCAGCCAAGTCCCCCTTGCCTTGGCCAAGGGCAGCCTGAAACTCAAACAGGGCCCATCCCTTATCCCTAGATGGAAATCTTGAGCAGAGTGCCTGACAGGACTGAAGATGGCTGCAGTTCTATCAAGCAGACAGTGGTTCTCTGAAGAGGCTCCCCTCTGCCCACACCCATGAGTGTCTGCTCCCCAGACGCTCCAATCCTACTTCTCCAGCTTTACCTTCTGTTCCGTGAGCTGCTTCCTTTTCTTTCTCCAAATCCCTCTTTTGCTGGTTGGACGAAGATTGTTTCTGTTGCCTGCAATCAAAGAACCCAAAAGGATGAACAGGCGAAATCATAAACATACTTTTAAGTGCTTGGGATATGCCTGCTTCTGTCCATCTTTCAACCCACTTGCATCAGATGCCCCCTTAGAGGATGAGAGCCTGTCCTGTGAACCATGGTGGTTCAGAGTGGAACAGAGCAGAGTGTGGAACACCAGGAGTTACAGCAATCAGTGAAATATGATGTAAGCCTCTATTTCAGAAATTATATATAATAATCAACTGATTATTAGTAATCAATAATAGCCTTCCCGTTTTATATCAAGCACAGCACTCAGCATATTAAAAACAAGGACTGTTGGACACCAGCTGCGATGAAATGCTTTATCAGAGGACGGCCCTTGATGTCTACGTCCATTTGCAAGTATGGCATTAGTTACAAGGCTGATTTAAGTATAATCAGTAAGTTTATATGCTGGATGCTCAAGATGATTTCTGGCTAAACATGGAATTTCTATTTCTATTTTCCTTATGTTAAAAGTCAGAACAGTAAAATGTATTCCTAATGTCACTATTATGACATTTACATCCCGAAAGTTGCAGTAAATGATCAATACAATAGTGGAATGCCTAGAAACCTGTTCCTTTTTTGCTAGAAAAAAAAAGGAGGGCACTTTTTATGTCTTTGATGTGAAGTTCATGTTCTTTGACAGTGACTGATGGAACATGCTACAGAAAAGGCTGATTACATTTTACTAGAGAAGTGAAAAAGAAATGCAGGAGAATCTCACAGCTCTGGGATTGAATGGAAAGCAAAGGAGGAGCTCTTCTAGGGGGCTATCTGATGCCTCTGTATAGCTACTGAATCTCTGGGGCCATGGATGGCAATTTAGTTCATCAGTAGGTCAGCGTTCAAGAGTATGGGCTGGGTGCAGAGTAAGCAACCTGCTGAGAGTAATGGCCACGGCTTTACTTCTGTCTTCAAAATCCTGAACAAGCTCCCCTTTTGGCCAACTCTAACCTGGAACCATGCAGATTAGGAAGAGAAAGAGAAGGGGATTCTGAGAAAGATTTTAGCATGGTCAAGTTGATAACGGAATGATTCAGAACAATGAAACCCTTATCAACTAGGTATATCTCTTTTTTTCTATATTTATTGTCCAAAGAAAGCAAAATCATGCTTTCACCTGCCTGACATGATGCAACTGTCCTTCATAAAAATGAAAACAGACTAGCCCTCTCCAAGATTCTAGACACTGTGTCATTTTATTCATCGTTGGGTTATGTTTACTCGCACTACTAGCTGAATTACACTCCCCTTTAATATCCTGTAACTTAAATACCAACATATAAGGCTTACCACTTTTATTACATTTTATATTACATAGTACATTAATAGGAGAGGGGGCAAAGAAAGAAAAATTATATATTATATATGGATATATAATTAATAATTATATGTTACATATATTTATTTATAAATATATAATAATTATATATGATATAAAATATATTGATATATTTATATTATTATATATAATATAAAACATATATATATATATACACCAAAAAGGAAACACGTATGTGTGACTTTGCATTCCAAAGTCCAGTACTCAGATAAACACGCACACGCACGCACACACACGCAGGCAGGCACGCATACGCACACATGGGCACACACACAGAGGAGTCCTCTCTATACAATCTCAAAACATCCTGCCAAGTCAATAAAAAGTGGTCTTAGCCACTCCAAGGAAAAACAGCCTGAAAACCAGATGATTTACCAAGCTTTACACACTTCTTATTTTTATTTTGGAAGAGGAAAGAGAAGAGGTGATAGAGAAGGGGCGAAAAAAGAAGGGGATTGGCAAGGGAACAGCTTGGAGGTTGAAGGCTGAACTTCTGGCCTTCCCTTCTTAGATCTTTCAGTACTCCAGGTTCACTACTGACATTTGTCTCCTGTGAGCTGAAACCTCTGGGTACTTGAAAGTCCATCATATCCATTCATGTGCTAAGACTTCCTTCTTTCTCCCTTCTCTCCCTCTTTTTGCCCTCCCTTCCTAACAAAAGGATTTTCTCTTAACTGAGTGTGCAGTTCACCCATCTTGGAAGGATCACCATTTCCTGGGCAGGAAATATATAATAGTTATATATTATATATTTATTTTATTATATAATATATAATTATTTATTATATATTTATATATCATATACATTTCTATATTATGTATAATTATATATTATATATCATATGCATTTCTATATGATATATAATTATATATTATATATTATATATCATATACATTTATATATTATATATAATTGTATATTATATATTTACATATCATATACATTTATATATTATATAAGGATATATATAACCACATACATATACTCTTCTCTGCCCTCAGTATGTGGTAGTGACTCAGTTTCCCCTTGAGAGGATCAGTTGTCCCCGATGTGCTACAGTAACCTCTTTCTTTGCTTATCAATCTCCTAGCGTGCTGGCCTCAAAGTGGTCAGGTGGCAGTGTTAGTTTACAGTTAACAGCTGTTGTTTGTCCCTGGTGAACAACCCCCTGTGAAAAGCACACAAAACCTGCTCCTGTTTTCTCAAAGCTACAGATGTCTTCTCAGGCTCTGCTTTGGAGCAACTTTCCAATTTCCTCTGAAACATGACCTTGGAATTCAAGGCATATTAAGTTTTTCACACAGAAGTTCCATTTGGAAACAAAGAACGTGTAAGAGGAGGGAGGTGGAGGAGAAGAACATTCCTTTTCAAGGGAGGTATTTTTCAAGGAAGGTAGGTTCTTCCAGAGGGGATTGTATCACAGTTGTTCCTTGTCCTTGGCCCTAGCACCATCACCATGTGTTGCTTGTGGATCTAAAACTCTATTTTCTGGTGTGATGTGTCATGAAAAAACTAACATGAGAAAGCTACGTGGAAGAGCAATGAGATCATGTGATTCTTGGGACCTGGTGCTATATTAATTCAGAAATGTGAAATAATTCTGGAAACAAAATCAGAAAAACTATCCTCCAATCTTACACAGGGCTTCTGTTAAAAATAATAATAATAATTTTATGAGGTTAAAAATAACAGAAATTATAGGTTGACAAAATATTGAACACTTAGCTCAAGACAGAAATTGGTAGAGTAGGGGGAAAGATTTGCACTGGCTGAGTTTTAACTTATAAATCAAGAAAAATCAACAGAGAATTTAATCCAAACATGCACTGCACATAGTTTCTACTGGGCTTGTGTTACCAAGGTTAGTGTTGTGGTTGAGTTTGCTAGGGAGGAAGCATGAAAAATTGATGACATCTGTCCTCTTAGGTCTTTTTTGCTTTCCTGATAGCTACTTCAGAGGCCTTGGCATTTTGTGATAAACTCTCCAGACGACTGGTGAAAATGTAATCATGGGGATTGAATAATTGGAAACCAGAAGTCTGTCTGTGTTTCTGGGACTCTTGTGAAGCATTTTCCCCTTGCCACCAACAAGATCAGAGAATCTGGAGGTTCTATAGTAGAGTTGTCCTAAATAATGGAAAGCCACTAAGATGATAAGAAAGATTAAGAGTCATACCAAACCAGTGAAAATCAGGGTATCTTTGCCTCCTGTCACCACCACCATCTCATTCATTCGTTCAAAAAAAGTTAGTAAAACACTGTGGTAGATGCTGTTGGTTATTGTTCATCTCCTTTGGGCCTTGCCACTTAGGTGGACTCCAGCCGACTTCTTCTGCCAGTATCTGTATCTCTTTGTTTGAGGGATTCTCCAAAGTCAGTCTGCCACACCCGCTGCTAGATGAAGAGGTGAGGAATTGGTGCTACCTGGAGCAGTCCCCCACCAATGTTTGGCAAGAGTTTCCTTATAAATACCTCAGCTCCCTCACTCCCGGGTGAGATAATGCTGAGGTATGTTTCTCTACCATATCCCAGTGTCCCCATGGGACTGAGCTTCTGTGGCCCATGACATTAGCTGGTCTGATGGCACATCTTTTACCGTCTGCTTTCCTTCCCTGTGTAGCTCCCCATCCCCTCCCATTGTTTTCTACACCTCCCAAGTCCACTCTTTCTACTTGCGTCCTCGCTCAGAGTCTACTCCTGGGGAACCCAAACACCTACTGTGTGCCAGGGATTCACTGATTGAGGATACAGCAGATGATGAGATTTCAGACACCAGTGACAGGCTGGTGGGAAGATGTTTGATGGAAGTTTGAGACTTTATTCTAACAACTTACTTCATAGAATTTGTGTGAGGCTTAAACATATAAAACTCTTAAAAGAGTGTTTGGCACATAGCAACAACTAAGTAATTATTAGTTATTATATTCATTATTCTGATGAGCTAAGGCATTGGGTGTTTACTAGTTCTCTTGTTAAATAGAAATTTCTATGCAAAGGTAGTGCATTAAGCTCTTAGTGGCCATTAAAGCTTTAAGGGAGAAGATTTGTCAAGAAGCTTTCATCACTGTGCTAGACTTTGAAGGAATGAGTCAAAAGGCAAGGTAAGCTTTAAAGGTGGTGGGGGAAGGAGCAAGAGCTGATTGACATGAGCCTTGGGATCAGTTCCTGGGATCTCCTGGTAGGCAAGGATCATCCTGGGGCTCCAGGTTGCCTAAGTGCCAAGGCACAGTCTAGAGCAGGCAAATCCAGGCTTCTCTGAGTCCAAAGCCCTCAACAGAAAAGTGGCAGTGCTAAGATAGGTCGCACTCATTCATTTATTCTTTTAGTGTTTACATACATTTGTTCAATATTTTTTTTGAGTTGGAGTTTCAAAGGTTATCAGAGGATTCCCAGTGGAAGAGCAAGTATTTATAAATCAATGGTGTGCAATAAAATATCCTAAGTGCTTTGGGAGAACATATGTGTGGATCAGAAACAAGAGAATGGCTCCTTCTGCTTTGGGAGGAAGGGGAGGAGGGTCAGGAAGAGGAAACTCTTGATCTGAATTTTGACAGATGGCTGACCCTCCTGCCCACTTCATTCGATTGCACCCCCAGCGCTAGGGCATGGGCAACTCACTTCATTTCTCTGAACCTCACTCGAGTTCTTCACCTGTGACATGGGGATCCTGACCCTAAACTCACAGGGCAGCTCTGAGCATTGCTGAAGAGCAGGTGTGGGAAAGTACTGAGCAGCAGCTCTGCAAATGCCATTTTCCATGCAAGATATGGCTAAGCAAAATACTTTTCAATATGAGGCTCACCCTGCCCTGGCCTGAGGGAGCCCTGGCATAGGCTGCATGGGGACATGAGCAGGAGGGCACAGAGAAGAAGGAGTCAAGCTCCAGAGTCAGATGGCTTCAGTCCAAATCTTGGCTTTCTTCCTTATTGATTATGTGACCTTGCGCAAGTTCTTGAACTCTTTGAGCTTCAGTAACTTCATCCATGCAGCATGAGTGATAATATTAATATTAATAGTTCTCACCTCTTGGTGGTGGTATAAGAATGAAATGAGATAATTTAAGTGCCTGGAGCACAGTAAGCACTCAGTAGATGTCATCATTATTTAGAAGGAACTCCTGGTAGAGGGAAAAATTATGTGATAAAGTTCCTAGCTTCTACATCTGGATCACTATCATTCAACAATCTAGGATTGGGTCCAAATGGTCAACTCTTTAGATTTAGGAGGCTTTGTGTTTTGACTCACTGGCTGCAGATATTGGCAATGCCTGACTCAGGTACCCTAGACTTTCTTCTCCATAGGCTGAAGGCTCTGTACTGGACACACCTGTGACTCCCTGCCTAAGAGGATGCAAACTTGGTCTGCACACCCAGCATGCTGAATGTGCCCTTAGACACAATGACAGAGGAAAGCTGATGGACGAGCACCCCAGCTTCCTTGCCCTCTTGTTGGGGTGTGATTCTGAGGCATTTCTACAATGACCTTGCTAGTCACCCTGCAAGATTCAGTTCCAGTTGCCCATAGTAGTAACTAGCTGAACGACATACTCCTTACTGCCTACTTTCCCTTCTCTATCTCAGGCTCCCATTCCTCCACTAGTATACTCTAGGATCACCTCCTAAGTTAATTAACTGCACTGAAATTCTTCATTATAGGTCTGTTTCTGGGAGAACCCAAACCAAGACACTCACTGGTATGTGCCTCTAAACAAGTTCAACACGGGCTAAATGAAGTGCAAGGTCATATAGCTACCTGCATATAATCACAACTGTCTAG